GAAACTTTCCTTTTGAGGGCTGTGGGATAGGAAAGGAAAGCTAAATTTTCTTGGAAGGGACGGCATCTACAGAGACGCTCCACCGCATCCGAGCTCTGCAGCTTCATCCGTATCAGTGCGCCTTTCTGCAGTGCTCTCGTAATGTGCTGGAAAGAAAACGTGGCAGGATGAAGCTGCAGAGCTCGGATGCGGTGGAGCGTCTCTGTAGATGCCGTCCCTTCCAAGAAAATTTAGCTTTCCTTTCCTATCCCACAGCCCTCAAAAGGAAAGTTTCAGTCTTCGTTTTGGAAAAAAAAACAAACCCAACTGCTTGAATACAGATCAGTGCCACACTCTTGCAGATAGCCTGAAACAGCCTCTCTGAGAGAGGTGTGAACTTCCCCATTAATCACGGAAGAGTGATTATTTTGAGGCCTCAGGTTGACAGTTTAAATGGCAATGCTGGTAAATATTTAATTGCTGAGACATATATGGCATACATGATGGTGTGGCATAAAGGTCCTACCAGCATGACTTGAGGAGGTCCCCATTACATGTGAATGGAGACACCACAAGCGAATTATGCAGGCTACCCTAAATGCTTGCCGGTCAAACCTTAATACCCGTATTACATGATTGTGTGTCTGTATAAAACATACGTTGCAGGAAAGCTATTTTAGGAATGTTTTATAGATTTTATTGGGACGATTTTTCGCATCCCTCTTGCTATAAAGCCAGGTGCCTTTGTTACCATGAGTCCAACTGCACAAGACCAGAGGGGCCTATAAAAATGTCGTTAAATGACAAAGTGGCTTTCATAACTAAAAATGTCACAGGCATGGAGTCAGATAGGCCAAGGTCTTCTGGGGCTAGAAGCAGGTGCTGGGTCTCATTGGGAAGCTGCAAATCTCCCCTTCCAGTGGGATAAAGCTCCATTTCTAATCCAACAGGCTTGCAGGATATTGCATTTTGACTTCATTACGTTCTTATGAATCGAAAAGCTGGCACTCACCTGGCCTGGGCCTTTGCTAGGGATAATTTTGAAGGAAATACCATCCTTGATGAGGAGGAGGAAAGAGTTTTCAGTAGGTTAATTTATTTTTATAAGCTCCGGTGTTTGAAACCATTAAAGGACTTGATTTGGTAGAGTATCTGTGTTTGGAGCGATCGTGATCGGGCAGTGAGCAAAGGGCGAGGGAGAGTGATCAAAGGGGCACAGACAATAGCTGTTGTGGCAGGGTGATCATCATCTGTGCATCGCTATGTAAGCACCTCAAAATCGATAAAACGTTTTTTAAATAAGCCTCTCGATTCCTTCTGCTCCCTTTCAGAGAAAACTAGTGTCATTCCTGCAGTAAAGATAGGAAGCCAAGGCATGGAGTAGTTCAGAGGCGTTTTACAACTCCCCCCTGCCCTGTCAACATTGTGTCTGGGGGCCGCAGGCCGGACAATGAGCCTGCACCCCAACTGGGAAGAGAGGCCACAAGTCCCTGGTCCAATGTGCACATCCTTAACGGTATGTAGGCACCTCGCTCCTGCTGAAAGGAATGGCAGTCAGGCCCCTCGCTCCTACTGGGGGTTTGGGCACAAGCCCGAAGACCCGAGACCGTTCCCTCTCCTGAAGCAGCTTGCAAGACCAAGCCCGTATGTGCTGGAATAGGTTTTGCAAAGGGATCCTGTGCACGGTGTCCCAGCTCCTGCCCGGCTCCGTTCAGCACCAGGTTTGGAAGGAGCTGTGCTTGGCCGTGCTTTAGCGAAGCTTTCAAACACAACGGAGTTGGCAGTGAGGATGGGAAAGGGCGTCATGTTTTTTTCCTTCTTCAGGGTAGGTAGGGATTTTTATTCCTTTCTCTCTGTGGGAACAACAGGGTCAGACGAAAACCAAAAGACCACCATAAAGAAACAGTAATATGACATGAACAGGAGACCATGCCATTGATAGAGAATGGCAAAACTGAATTTAGCATCCTTTTCAGCTAACTATGAAAAACAGGATGCTCTACTGGATCTCAAAGACCTTTTGTATCTTCTTCATTTTTGTATTGCAACTTCCCTCTTTCAGGTATGAATGGTTTTAGATTTACAAAACAGTGAGCCTTTATTGCTGGCCAGTTTCATAGTTTCTAGGGTCGGAAGGGACCTGAGCAGATCATCTAG